ATTGGAGAGAGAGAGAGAGATTGATCTGTTGCTCCACTTACTGCTGCATTCATTGGTAGATTCTTATACGTGCCCTGACTGGGGATCGAACCCACAGCCTCGCCACCTTGGCATACAAGGACGATGCTCTAACCAACTGAGTTAACCGGCCAGGGCCAGTAGAGTATGTTTTCACTGACGTTCCATTCCAGTCGGTCAGAATCGATTGTATTTGTAAACCCTTTCAAAGGTATTGAGGTCTATTTTCTGACCCAGCGTCTGTTCTGTTCTGATGGACGCGCCACGTGCCCAGGGAAATGATGCACCTCCTACAGTCTTGCCGTCGAGTGACAGCTGCGTCCAGCTGGGTGATGGGCTGGTTCAAGCCTTCCGCAGCCTCACCGATTTCCTGTGTGTCGTGGGTGGAAATCTCACACTGTGATCATGGATCTGTTCGCTTCTCTCTTCGGTGTTACGCGTTTGGCCGTGTGTATTTCGAAGCTGTCCTATTATGCGCACGTGAATTTCAGACGGCGTCTTAGTCAGCCTGGGCTGCCGTGACAAAAACTGTAGACGGAGTGGCGTCCCGGACAGAAATTTAATCTGGAGGCGGGAAAGCCCAAGATGGAAGGTCCAATGGGGCTTGGTTTCTGGCAAAACCTCTCTCCTTGGCTTGTGAATGGTGCCTTCTTATTGCATCTCTCGTTGTTGTTCCTCTGAGCACATGAAGGAAGACAGAAAGAACACTGCTGTCTCTTCCTCTTCTTTTTATTTTTAAGAATTTTATTTCTAGAGAGGGAAAGGGAGAGAGAAACAGAGGGAGACAAGCATCAATGTGTGGTTGCCTCTTGCGTGCCCCCTACTGGGGACCTGGCCTGTAACCCAGGCATGTGCCCTGACTGGGAATTGAACCTGCGACCCTTTGGTTCACAGGCTGGCACTCAATCCACTGAGCGACACCAGCCAGGGCTGTTCTGCTTCTTATAAATACAGTCACATGGGGGGGGGATGCAGTTCAGGTCAGAGCAAATGATTGTGTCTTTTTGATGAACGGTACTTTTATTAATATGAAATTCTCTTCATTTCTAGTAATCTTCATTTTCCTGAAGTCTACTTTATCTGATATTGATGAAGCAATTCATATTCTCCATGATTAGCTTTTTGCATGATACATGTTTTTCAGTCCTTTTACTGTTTACCTTTTGAGATTTATATTAAAGGTGTATTTCTTATTGATGACACACTATTTGGGTGTGTTTTAAATTTACAACATTCTCTGCCTTTTAATTTAGTTGGTTTTTAAAAAAACTATTGATAGGTTAAATATACCACCTTGCTATTTACCTTTTTTTGTCCATTTGTTCCTTTTTTCTCTTTTCATGCCTTTTTAAAGTTGCGTATTTTTGAATATTCGATTTATAGTTCCTCTGTTGGCTTATAACAAATTGATGTTTCTCTTTTTCCCCTCTCCCTCTCTCTCTAAAGTCAATAAATAAAAATTTTTCAAAAATTCAAAGAAAGATCTCAAAAACCTGAAACTTTTCCCTAGAAAAATGAGAAAAGCAGAGAAACTAAACACAAATTAGGGAAAGAAATAATAAAGATGAAAGCTGAAATCAATGAGATAGAGAATATGAAAACAATACAGAAAAGTGCAAGTTGGTTCTTTTTGGAAAAGATCAAAAAAAGCAACACACTTTTAGATAGGCTGACCAAAAGAATATAAGAAGAAGAAAAGAAAAAGAAAAAAGAGAAAAAAAAGAGAAAGCAGACTCAAATGAGTAAATCAGGAACTAAAAAGGAGACATTACTACCAACCTTATGGAAATAGGATTATAAACGTGTGCATGCCAACGAATTAAACATTTTAGATGAAATAGACATGTTTCTAGAAAACCACGGAGTACCGAAACTAACACAAGGAGAAATGCAAGAAGGGATAGAGAAACCGTATAAACTTACCTATAACAAGTGAAGAGACTGAATTTTTCATTAAAAAAAACAAAACAAACAGTCCACAAAGACAATCCCAGGACCAGATGGCTTCGCTGATGAATGCCACCAATGTTTAAAGAACAGGAATAACGATCCTTCGCAAACTTGCTCAAAACACGGAAATGAATGCATTTCCCAGCTTATTCTGTGATTACACAGCCGGCATTACTCTGATTCCAAGACCGAAGACATCACAAGAAAAGGAAAACTAGAGACAAACACCCCTTAACGACACAGAGGCAAAAATTATGAATAAAATACTGGCCAACCAAACGTCACGACGCGGATGGAGAACTTCGCTCAAGATTATTTCTGAGGCTGGATCTTCGCATTCCCTGACTTCTCCCTCGGCTCTACTGTGCAAAACGGAGTCCATCCTGTGAACTTTTATTTTCGCTTATTGTAGCTTTTAATTCTAAAAGGTTCATTTGTTTCTTATTCATAGTTTCTATTTGTTTATTTATTTGCTAGAATTTTCCATCTTCCTTTTCATCTCTGCGGTGTTTGCCCTTACTTAGCGAAGCCTGGTGATAGTAGCTGCTTTGAGTCTTTGATAATTCTAACAGTTTTTTTTTTAAAGAGAGTTTATTTATTTATTTTTAGAGAGAAGAGAAGAGAGGGAGAAAGGGAGGGAGAGAAACATCGATCAGTTTGCCTCTCGTACGTGAGCAACCTGACCAGGGACCGAACCCAAAACCCAGGCGCCTGACCGAGAATCGAACCAGCGACTCTGCTTTGTAGGATGATGCCCACCCAACCCACTGAGCCACAGCGGCCAGGGCTCAGAGTTGGTGTCTTTTTCTCACAGGCTGAGACTTTTCTGGCTTTTCAAATCCAAGGCATTTTGCACGAGGGCCTGAACAGTTTGAATACTCTGTCACGAGCTCCTGTGTTGTTGAAATCCTCAAGAGGATGCTGACGTTTTTGTTTTAGCAAACCACGGACCCGGTTAGGTTCATTCAAGGGTCGAGTTCTGACCTCCTTTCTGTGGGCTGCGGTTCCAAAGTCAGTTCGGTGCTCAAAGGCTTTGCAATGCTGTTTGACTCCGCTCCGCCTCGGCCTGCAGCCTCTCCAAGGCCGTCTGCTATCTGGGTGGCCCTGTCTTACCTCTGAACTCCATTCTCTGAGCCTGTGGTGTGTTGTCGAAGGTTCGAACCTGCCTGTGCAGCTCAGAGCGGGACCCAAGACTTCACAGGCCACTCTCTCTCTCTAAAACCAATCAACCAACAACAATAAAAAGTAGTAATAACGTGAAGCAGATTAGGTAAAATAAAAGACACAAGTTCCTGAAAGCTATACCGCACCAATCAGTTATAAGTTAAAGGGAAGTTATAAAAAAGTCAGGGTAATGATACGAAGACATTTTAGACGAAGGCTAGCTACTGTGAATAGGTTGAATTATTTAAATTTGACCTTCTTGGCAGCCAAAACTAAAGGAGGGAGGCGGAAATAAAGTAAACTAGAAAGCTCTTTTTCCCTAATACAGTCCCGAGACACCTTACCGGAAGGCCCTGGGGGACAATGCTTTTCAGAATTCAGAACACCGGATGTGAGACCACCAGTAATGTACACAGAGTGGATTTTAAGTCCCACCTTAACAGAAGCAGCCCATGACCGGGAGCATCCACGGTTTTGTGGGGACATGTGGAAAGAAATATTCACACCGAGACTTTGGCTGTCCTGACATCGGCCTGGTTCGGCTTTGCCACCAAAGGAGTTTGTCAGTAACTTACGAAAAACTCTTGGTTTTCGTAGTTAGATCTTTGCGGGCCTGGGATAGAAGCTGTTAATTAATCTCTAGGGGGAAAAATGTTTTCCTTGTTCAGAAATCTAATACCATGTGGAGCTTAAGGGCGCTTCCCAACAAAGCAGGCAGGTTCGCCCCTGGATGTCTTACAAGAAATGCTTTGTTTCAGCAGATTCTGTCCAATACCAGTGGATGGGGCTGGCCTGCAGCCAGCGCCGGGGCCGGTGGGGGGGCTGGTGGTGGGGAGGGCAGGGTGCAGGGATGATAAGAGGTGGCCTCCACCCTGCAGGGACATATTGTAAAGGGCTGAGGAGGGCAAGATTGGGAGGGTGGGTCCTGACAGTGGGGAGACTTTGCAGGGAACATGGCTAGGTTCCAAGTGCTTTTGGCTGCAAGTAACCAAGACGCAGGTTCAAGGTGGATGAGCAGCTGGAGACAAAGCCTCTCAGGACAGGCAGTGCAGGGACAGACAAAGGCAACATCTGCACCGTAAGCCTCAGGGTGTGTCTTCTCTCTGAGCTTCTCTCTCTCCATTCCCTCTAAGCACTGGCAATCGTATGAGCAGAACATCCAGTCCCGGATGCAGCCCTGGGGCTCAGCTGGCTGAGGGCTGCCAGCTGCCCCTTCCATCTGAGCTGTGGTGGGCACGGGCCTCAGGCCAGACCCCATCACTTCCTCCTCTCCCCCCTGGCCGTGCTAGACATGCCGTGCTCTGGCGAGCAGCCAGGGGGCCAGTTCATGATCGCATGAGACTTACCTGGGCTCTGGTGTCAACACAAGCTTGGTCGCTGCCCAGGCCCCCCGGACCTGTCCCCTGAGTGCTGGGCAGGCCCCTGCAGCAGTGTGCTCCGGGATCAACTCCCTTGGGGACTTCAGTGGCTGCAACGGGGCACTTTCTGGACTCTGGGTGGTGGGGTGAGGGGAGCAGGCAGCTGGGTGAGTGACAGAGTGGCCCCACTGACTTTCAAAACCCCTGGGGCCCACAGGGGAGGGAAAGTTTGGTGCTTCTGGGGAGCTCTAGGGACAAGGCCACCCTGTGTGCAAACCTGCATCTGGGTGGAGGGACATGGGCAGGGGCAGGAATAAGCCCATAGGTCTGGGAGGTGGCCAGCCAGCCAGGTCTTCCCTCCGCAAACGTTGCAGGATGGTTCTAGCCTCCTGGGCTATTACTTACAATTGGGTCCATTCTTGGCACCCTCCCCCAACCCGCCCCATCCCCCCATCCCCCCAAGAGCCGGTGAAAGGCCTCCCCTGCAAAGCGATCAGCTCTGGCAAAGTATAATAATGAATCATAAATTTTATTTCAAAATGTAAACGTCACTAAACATGCATACACGTTAAAACAATCAAATGTACAATTCAGTTAATTTTTTTTCCTTTTGCATAGGACATCATTACAATATAGAATCTATGGCATACAAAATACATACAAAGTTGTATCCGAGCAAGCCGAGGCCAGAGTGGGGACTGTACAAGGGCAATACTTCGCTGTAGTGATCCGGGGAAGATGAGGGGCGGCCCTGGGGAGCGTGGTAAGGGGCTGGTTAGCAATAGAAAAGAAGGTTCTGACGGAAAAGGAAAAACGTGTGCTCTATGGAAATGGTCTTGGACCCTCGGATTCGGCCTTGGGAGTTTGGCGAACGATTCCACAGACGCTCCACCAATGGCTTCGGACGGGGAAGGGGTGGTTTGTGCAGTGGGTCCGAGCAGGCAGCTGAGACCCCCGCGCATGCGCCCAACACACCCACACCAGCAACTCCCGGCCACGCGGGAGCCCACCGCCCGCCCCACCGGACACAATGCACAGCTGCTCAGCACGCAGGCCCACGCCCACGCCATTGAGCCCTGTGGTCCTCGGCACCAGGCACGGGGAGACTCTCGGGGGGGGGGGGGGGGGCAGGGATCCAAGTCTCCCACTCACACCCCCTGAGGCAGGTTCCCTGACCCAGGAATGGACGCCACCCTCCCCAGGGGTCTGAGCCACACTCAGCCCCGCTGAGTGGGAGGCACAGCCCACAGGCAAGCCTGCGGGGGCCCTTCAGGGGTTCGGTTCCCACACTTGGTTTGCGAATGAGCGTGTGCTGCCCATGTGTCCCTAGGAAGTCGCCCCAAGCCCTGGGAGCAAGCTGCTCCAGCGGCCCTTGCCCTATCCCTTATTTCTGTGCCCACCCTCCCCACCCTCCCCCGTTTATCCTTAAATAAAAACAGTACGGTTTTAAAGCTTCATGAGGTGAGGAGAGGCTGGGGGGGCGGTCAGGGGGCCACCATGCGAGTCCCACATCACAACAGGGGGTCAGTACAAACTGGGTGTGGCCTCCCATCCCTCTGGGTCCCTGGGCTCACGCCCTCCACCAAACCCAAGTCTTCTAGCAGATCAGGGACTGAGCAGGGGGGAGGGTGGGGGGGAGGCTCTCCCTAAGGACGCCCAAGCACACTCATCAGTAGTAAGCTAGACTGCGCACCCAAATTCTGATACAAAATTCTCTGGAAGGTGTCTGGGACGAATCTTGGAAAGCTAGCCATTAGGATGTCGCCAAAGGACCTGGCTCTGCCCAGGGCCACACCGGATTCACCAAGTCCTCAGCCCACATCCCGTTGCTGGCTTTGGAAAACACGGTCACCGAAATCGCATGTGGAACCTGCCGGGGGCAAAAGACCTGGGTGACCAGCAAAACGCTTCTAACTGGCTGTGGGATGGGACCCAAACATGTGACCCTTTGGATCTTCCCACACTTGGGTCTTTGACTGGATGACTTTCTAAAACTGCATTTAAACAAAATTAATGCTGCCTGTTCGAAGTCGGGTAGCCTTGAAAAGCACAGCCAAAACTAGAAGTTGGTCATTGCTTTGGTCACAGTTTCCTGGTGGGCGGCTCCTCTGCTCACCCACGCGGAGACCGAAGTCCCTATGAGTGCTGTGACCCTGTGCAGCCTGCTTAGCACCTGCTCCGGCAAGAAAGGAGGCGTGGCCTCCTGCACACTCCCGCAGGGGGAACTGAAGACTGGCCACCCCGCTTCCCTGGACACCACAGACCATTCTGCACGTCCCAGCAAGTGGGCTGAGCTCTGCAGTCCGCGTGGCTGTCTATCTGCCCTCCCAGCCCCTGCCAATCACCCATCACTGGTTGGCGTTGCCACCCGGGGCGTGGGGTCCCAGGGATGCTGATGTTTGCACCTGGAGGCAGCACCATGGTGATCCCGGCCCCTGCCCAGTAGGTGGCCTCAGAATAAAAGGTGGGGGTCCTGCCCCTCAAGTGACATGGGTGGGCTGTGCCAGGATGCAGGTGGGGAACCCGCGCAGCGGCCAATGGCAGAGTGCGCTAGGGTCCTCTGCGGTGGCGGCTGGGTGTGCTGTCTTTCCGGATGGCTGTAGGGTTCGGTGGGCACAGGTGGACAGCCAGCAGGCCCCCCAATATGGCTGAGACAAAAAGGGACAATTTCATTTGGGGCACGAGTCCCCAGTGGCTGGGTCCAGGGTCACTTTGCGGCCCTTCCCAAGGGCAAGCTCGGACAAGCTTCCTTCGGAGCTCTCTGCCCGTGACCTGGACCCAGACACGAAAATAAAGGTTTGCGCTGTTATTTCTAGGAGTCTCACAGGTTCTGCCTTCACGCTGAAGCCAGCAAACATGGCCCTCAACCATAAAGATGAAAAACCCTGAAAGAGACCAAGGCCAGGAAAACATTCTGCATCTTACATGAAAGTGCAGCCTGTTCCCAAAGGGTCCATCTGTGGGCCAGAGCCATGGCGGCTCCCACCCCCTCCTCTACTGGTTCTATTTCCTGAAGCGGTGATGCCCGGGAGCATCCTTGAACCTGGCCTGAGATTCCTGGCTTCCCCCCTCCCTCCCCACCCTTCAAGAGAGTCCCGGCCGGCCCGGGTGCCTGGCCAGGATTCCCTCCCGATGCCCCAGCTCCCAGGCCAGGGCCACACCCTGCCATTAGGCCAGAGCCACTTTGGGAATGAAAACACTCTCATTTGCCAAAAATAGTCAACGCCTGCATATTTCTGTTTTAAGGCAATGTTACCCTTCCATCCATCAGACGGAACAGCCCTGGGTCATTTGGAGGAAAAATTAAATTAAGTGCTCTCTTTGGAAACAGCAAATGCCCACTTTCCCTCCCCCACCCCCCACCCCACCTCTAAAACAAACCAGCTCTTTTTTTATTCCGAGATGACTGGGTTTGGAGTCCTCTCCCCACTCCCTGTGCGCAGACGGACAGGTTGGAAACCCGGCCACCCCACTACGCCAGGGCAGAACAGCAGGGGACGCCTGGGTTTTCCAGGGAAGTGCAGGGGCCGCCCCCGGCTTCGGGGACCTGGGGGCGGTAAGCGCACCAAAGGACTTTGGAATAAAATTCCTGAACCTGGAATGTGAGTTCCTGAGACATGAAATGTATTCAGAGTGTGGCTTTCTCAGCCTCACACAGAAACAACTTTGGGAGGGACTTCCAGGGCCCTGTTGGGCCTCGCTTTGGAACTGACGGTGGAGACCTTACGCCCCAGGCACTGGGGCACTCTTCTGTCCAGCCCCCCCCCCCCCCCACTCCGTGGAGTCCACTCTCTCTCCCAGATCCACACCAGAGGGGCTGCCACGGACACCAAACAAAGCCCAGCAGTGGCTGGTGAGGGGCCATCCCTGCTGCTCTGCCCCCAGCAAGAGGGCCGTGGCCCAACGTGGTGCCTACCATGCTATTCAGAGGCTGCCACCATGCTCCCAGCCAACCCCAGCTGACACATGGTAGCTGATGCAGGTACACAGGTTGCTGCAGATGGCAGGCTGCCACCCTCGTCCTTGCTGTGGGCAGAGGGTGGCCGTCCCCTCTGGTGCTGGCCAGAAGCAGCGGCCAGGGGCTATGCATGCCAGCCAGGCCTGGGTCGCTGGGGTTCTCTGTGCTGCACCCCACACCCAGAGGGTAGGGTGGAGGCTGGGGTGGCCACAACCAAGGCACTCTGGATCCAGGAAGCCCATCTATGGCCCTCTGAGATCCCAAGGGTCATTCCTCCTCATCGAAAAGGGCAGAGGTCTCTGTAAGCTACCTCACATCCACCCCAGACCCACACCCCCGGCCCAACACACACGTACACACACACGCACACACTGTCCTGGGGGCTTCTATTTACACGCCCCAAGTCTGCCCAGAGGTGCTGCAGAACGGCTGTCTGCAGAGAAGACCAGTGCAGAGCCCGGTCTCTCTGACCCACCTGGGCTCGCACCCCGAGCCAGCCCAGGCCTGGGGTCTGAGCCGCACAGCCCAGGGGGTCTCTGCTGTCCTCTCCAGCAGGAGCAGGCTGGTGGGCTGGCAGCTGTGGGCTGGGGCCTCCCAGGCAAGGCAGGAGAAGCAGGAGGGGATGGGAGGAGTCCAGGGGATGCGAGGAGTCCAGGGGATGCAGAGCTCCAGGACAAAGTGGAGGCTTGCTCCCCCTTTGAGCTGGAGACATGGTGACAGCTGTCCTGCAACTTGCTGGCTGCTGTGCCTCGGGGGAGGAAGTAATGCGAGGTCCCGGACATCAGCCTGTCGCATGACACCTGCTTCACCACTCCTGAAAAGTCCTGGGTCAGAGCGCCCCAGCGTCCTGCAGTGGGTCGGTCCTCCTGAGGCACGGAGCACGGCCACATGCCCAGCCCCACACACAGCCTCTGGCGAGGTGGCCGGGCAACTTCAGCCATTGGTCCAAGCAAAAGTGTCTGGGGAGCAGGGGCTGGGCCGGTGGGCAGATTGGGGTCTGGACGCACCAATAACAGTTTGGGATGTCCCTGCAGAACTCCGGGACTCCCGGGTCCCCAATGCCTTCTGCAGGGGCACGGAGGAGCAGGCATCCATGTTCGGGGCACGTCCCTGGGGCAGGCTGAGGGCCGAGGAGTGGCCTCACTGCTGGAGCATTGGACGTTGGTGGTGCAGTGGTCTTCTAACCTCTGCTCCCAGCGCCCCAGAGAGAGGCCAGGGACAGGAAGATGGTCCCCCCGGGGGGGTGTGCTCCTTGGCCTGGCTCGGCTTAAGGCATCCCTCTGACCCGTGTAAGTCCTGAGCCTGGCTGGCCGCTGGGGCAGTGGCTGGAGGCTGGGCGGTGGCAGCCAGAGGGGCACTCGGGTCCTGCTTGGACACCTGCCCTGGAAGCACAAGTGTCAATGACCACATCTGCTCCCAAGTAGCCGGTGGATGGACACACAGGCCACAGAGCTCCACGGGCCTGGCTCCCACCGCGGTGTCCCCAGAGGGTCCCCGAGCGAGCCCCGGAGAGCTCCAGAGTGCAAATCTATGTACAGAGTAAGGCGGCAGGGAGGGGTGTCCTCACCGGGCCCGGGGACCCTGTCCATCCCTGAGAATGGCTTTCAGACCGATGACTCTCACCTCCGTGGTATTATCTGTTGTGCAATTTGTGGATGGTGTTTTTTTTTTAAATGTTTTTTTTTTTTACAAATTGAGTTTGACACCTGAGGTGAAGAAAATCGGGGAGGGGGGTGTGGTTGACTTCATCGCATTCTGATTACAAAAGGACAACACAGGGGTCGCAGGGCAAACGAGAGCATCGGTTCATGGCTGTAGTGGGGGAGGGGCCGTGAGCGCCGGTGGGGCGCAGGGGTGGGGGATGTGCTGCTGCTGCTGCGGGGACGCAGGGATGCCGCGGAGGGGGCGCCCGCGGGGGCGGGGCGCTCAGGGCGAGCTGGCCGGGCTGATGGTGGGGCTGCTGGCGTCGGAGCGGCTGTAGTCGCTGAGCGAGCCGGTGCGCGAGCCCCCGCCGCGGCGCTGCAGCATGCCGGGGTGGAAGTTGGCGTGGCGGCGCGCGTGCTTGGTCAGGTGGTCGCTGCGCATGAAGCGCTTGTCGCAGATGGGGCAGCTGAACTTCTTCTCGCCCGTGTGCGTACGGTAGTGCCGCGCCAGCTCGTCCGAGCGCGCGAACTTCTTGCTGCAGTCCGGCCAGCTGCAGGCGAAGGGCCTCTCACCTGCGGGCAACACGAGCACAGTGTCAGGAGGGGTGCAGCCTATGAGATCTCAGGGCACTCCACTCCGCAGCCTGACCACTCCCATCCAGCGGCGCTGCACCCTTCTCTTTGTGCCCCATCCCCACCGAGGTGTGACAAATCCATCAAGCCGGAGGTGCGCACGCGTGTGCCCTCCGGCTCCTGCGCGCACCTGGGGAGGGCAGCGGAGCTCTCCCAGGATCAAACCCGGGGCCCTGGCGGTGGCCCCTGTAAGTACACGGCAGGGCTGCCACCACCGGCCTCTGCAGAGTCCACTGTCCCTGGCCTGCAGGGAGCACAGGCTGGGAAGGGTGGGGGCCCAGTGAGGGCTGGGACCCCTGGGGGAGTCCCGTTGCCCTCTGCTGGCCTTCAACCCCTGCAGGGCCTGTGGACAGACCCTGGCACCCTCCTCAGTTCAGCCCTGCCCCTCGGGTGTGGCATGGGGGCGTCTACCCAGGTGATTTCCGGACCTGAGCCTGCTGCTCCTGTTCACAGAGGCCTCAGTGTGGCCAACAGGACAGGAAACTAACGGGCTCCTGCAGAGCCAAGCGGGGTCCCGGACAAGGGTGGCTGCCCGGGAACACCCAGGCAGAGAAGGAGCGAAGGTCAGCTACTGCCAACACCCCTCCCCTCCCCCCATCCTTGCTCACTGCAGAGCCAGGCCTGCATGGACCCCGGCATGTTCTGAACCCCAGAGTGCAGACCTCCTGGCACTGAGGTGGCCACGCTGCCACCTCCCCCCACTATCACAGGCCCTTGAAGCCAGACCACCTGTGCCTGGCTGAGCAAATAAATCCATGCCACACGCCCCAAAGTTGCCCATCAAACTTAAATATAAACAGACACCCAAGGACAGCTAGATGGCTGAGGAAAACCAGAGGCCTCCAAGGAAAAGGCTGAGAGCCACAAAACCACTGCCCCCAGCGGAAGAAGAATGAAGCCAGTGAACAGAAGAGAACGTTAACCTGAAAATCCTGCCGAGCATTCTGAGAGCAATTACAGACAAAACTCGATGCCTGAGGCAAACAGGAGACCATAAAAAAGAAGTCCAGAGAACAAAAAAAAAAAAAGTGTTTAGAAATGCAGAGTGTCTTTGCCCAAACACAAATTCCATGGATAAGCTTGAAATGTACTCGAGAAAATATCCCAGGAAAGAAAGAACAGAAAAAGAACTCTAGAAAATATGTCACCCGCATGGTCCGCCTAGTCACGCTGCAGTGGAGGGCTGTGTGTGGCTGTATTTGCTGTGCTCGTTGATTTTATGTTTTAGGGAGAAGGGTGTGTGTGTGTGGGGGGGGGGAGTGGAAACAAATAGGAAAGCATTTCCCAAAGATTTGTGATTGTTACAGACAGTGGAAGCTGGAAGTCCAGAGTCATGGGGAGTCAATCCTGGGGGTGCCGCAGATAACAGTGAGTAAATAAAAGAAAAAAAAGGGGGAGAGGAAATGACTGAAGGCACAATAGGACATATGAGGGGGCAGAGCTGGGACAACAGATACGGGCTCTTCCTAAGTCACACTGGATGAAAGATGAGCAGGCCCTTTCAAGCCAACCTCTCACACTCTAGTAAAAATGAGGGGGGAAAAAAAAAACAAGAAGTCAGAGGAGGGAGTAAACAATGGAGGTGGGGGTGGGGAGGGTCTCAGGACAAGAATGAAGCGGAGCCTGGGGTGGGGGGACACTGGACCAGACGGCGGGACACACACGGTGAGAGCCCCATGCCTCAGTGAGTATGACCATGAGGCCAATTACATTTCATGTCACCTCTGGTGAAAAAGAGGGGAAAAAAGAGGCAATTAGAAACTCCAGGAAAAACAGAAGCCTTGTCAGACAATTGCAGTGTATGAAGCAAACTAAAGGGCCACATGCTTATGAGCAATCAGCGAGCACTCTGAGCCACGCTCTGTTCTAGGGGCTTTTTCTATGTTTTTTTTATTCCTCACAACAGCCCCACGAGGAGGCAGAAGGGGCAGGGCCCGGCCTGGGGAAGGGATCTTACTTCATGCGGTCTCGGTCACATGTGCCATAACCTAGTTGTCAGTGTTTGGAATCTCTGCGTCTTCAGGACGAAGCCCACACAGCTGACTCATGGCCCCCGCAGAGAATGTGGATTTCGGGGAAATGGAGAGGCTCACACGTGTGTGCCCAAAGGAAATCCCTAAATGAGGTTCTGGTTACAGGAGTAATCAACCAGATAATTCAGACGACATCCATCCATTCACAGGCGGAGTTGAGGGAAGAGGTAGGAACCTTTAGCTTATTTATGGAAGTAACAAAAATGGAAAGAGATAATGAAAATCAGAGCAGTGTTGGTCTCTTGAGAACAAGGCTGGATTGAGAACGGGATTATTTTGTTGTTGTTATAAGCTCTTCTGCGTTATGTGTCTTTTTTTAAAAAGAAATCGTAGGCACGTACTGCCTTGATAACACTGAAAATAAGAATGTTGAAATAGAAATCTTTAAATATTTAGGCACAGTTTCCCAAACCGCGTTCAAAGAAACATCGGAATTGAATAAATTGCTAATGGACCCCAGGAAGGGGTGGCGGGGGGAATTTTGTCAACGAAAACGTTTGAGAAATCAGCGGTAGGCTGATTCCACCGTCGGAAAATCACAACGTACATTTGTTATTATGCTTGGAAAGGTCCACATTCAAAAGCACGGTTTCATCTCCTGGGACCGGGTGCTGAGTTCGAGAGTTTGGTGCACACACCAAGTGCATCAGCCCCTGTGTCTGTGGTACATCGATGGGTGTGGCCTCAGACAAGCACCTCTTTACCGGTAGTGGCTCGATAGCGCCCCCAAGAGGTATGTCCAAGTCTTGAAACCTCTGAATGTGTCCTTCTGTAGCAAAAAGAGTCTTGGCAGCCCTGGTCGGGGGGCTCAGTTGGTTGGAGCACCCTCCTGTACACCAAAAGGCTGCGAGTTCAATTCCCACTCAGGGCACATACCTAGGTGGTGGGTTCAACACCCTGTTGGGGCGTGTATGGGAGGCAACCAATTCATGCTTCTCTCTCATACCAGTCTTTTTTTCCTCTTGTTTCCCTTTTCCTCTCTCTGTCTTAAATCAATAAACATATCCTTGGGTGAGGATTAAAAATATATATGTTAAAAAAAAAACTTTGCGGATATAACTAAGGTACAGGTCACTGGTGTCCCTAGAAGAGGGAGCCATGCTGGCGACGCCTTCCCACCCGGAACCTCCGGAAGGGTCTCACACCACCAACGTCTCAATTGCAGCCTTCTGCCCCACCCCCAGGGTGAAAGGGCCCATTTCTGTTGCAAGCCTGTGGTCACTCTTGGCAGCCGCAGGGAACGAACGCCGCGCCCACCCTTCCCCTGAGGTCCACCACCAGCCCCTGGTCCCGCGCCGGGCAAACGCCAAGCGCTGACTCCAGAAAATGTTGCTTATTAATTACTGTTTCTCTTGTCCGCCCCTCCCACCAACTAGGTCTCCTCAGCTTGGAGGGCAGGGGCACCAGCAAACTGGGACTCGCCCTCACTTGTTTATTAATAAGGCCCAGGCCTTCGCTGGGGGCTTCTCCTTTCCTTGGGAATCCTTCTGCTTATACCCCTGGGGGGCACGCGGAGTCAGGGGGGTGTTCATTACAGACAGGCTCCGTGCTGCAGGCCTGGCGTGGGAGGTGGGGGAAGCCCGAGGCCCCACGTGCCAGCACACAGCTCGTGGCCTGCCCGGCCTCAGCAGCTCAACACCTGGAGCGCAAACCCGAGGCCCGGCCCTGGGGCCGTGGCTGTGGCTGCGGCTGTGACGCAAACAGACAGGGTCCTCCTGGCTCCAGTCGCTATGCTGGGTCTGCCCGGTCCCCGAAGGGAGACTGGCCCACAGGCCTCTGGGTGAAGCATTTAGAAGCTGTGATTACCACTAGCATGGAGCTGCACCAGGGCCTGGCTAGGCCGGCCTCTGGGCGGGACGCTCCCATGGCCCCCAGGAGGCCGACGAGGGGCAGCAGCCGGGAAGGGAACGGCAGCCTGGGGAGGGGACAGCACTTCGCACACCCCCAGCAGTGAGGGGCTCACAGCGCTGGTGTACGGGGCTGGTGCCCACTGATTTAAACGGAAACACATTTAAACTTCAGCCCTCATTCCAGTGATGTCACCACGCAGCACAGAGCCTCTGGAATATTCCATTGTATTGTCTGAAGAGAAAGAAGGACCAATAATACTATTATTGTGAAAACAGTTTTCATCTCTTGGCCCCGGGGATGGTCTCGATGACAGACGGGTGTTCCTGGACCTCACTCGAAACACCCTGCCTCTGGGGACCCACCCTGGGTGCTGGGCGGTGCTGAGTGCCCCCCGGGGTGGGTGGGGGCCTTACGGAAAGTCGACCCCATGTACTGAACAGCTTCCTCCTTTTGGAGCTCAGATTCCATACCTGCCTGCTCCCTGGTGCAGGATGGGGGGCGGGTGGTGTCAGCCTCAGGGTACTGCCACAGGGACAGCACAGTCCCCCTGGAGTGACCCTGGCCCTCCCCGATTACTCCAGGACCCCGAAGGGAGCACTGCCTGCCCTCGATGGCACCCAGAAGCCTCCATGGGAGCAGCCCCCCTCCACGCGGCTGCCCGCCCTGTCGGGAGCAAGGGCTGTTTGCAGGAGGGGCCGTGGGACAGGATGCTGAGGGGCTTGTGCAGGGCAGGGTGAGAGGAAGGGGGGCCGAGTTCACATCTTGTGGGGTGCTGGGTGGACAGGGAGGGGGAGGCAGGGTGGAGGGAGCCGTGGGGTCCCAGGGGCTGGGGGAGGGGCCAGGTCTTGCAGGGGTGGGGGGTGGAGGAGCTAGTGGGTATCTGGAAGCAGGGTGTCTGGCCGGGGGCGGGGAGGGGTGGTGACTGGTCAGTGCAGGACGGGGACATTCAGGGCCCTGGGAGCAAAGTGGGGGTGGGGCTGCGGGGAGGCGGGGTGCCGGGAGGGGGGATGGCAGAGGGCGGGGTGCACAGCGCAGTGCAGCTGGGGGACCCGGTGG